GACCCTCCATTCTGTGTTCATCAGAAAGAGCCCATGTCTGGGTGGACTCTCACCATACCCTTGGAGCAAACTAAAGTTCAGAGAGGTGACTTGGTCAAGCTCATGAACCATTAAAAAATAATGGAAGCTGGGCACTGTGGTTCAGGCCTGTAATCCCAGCACTTTGGTAGGCCAAGGCAGGCAGATCATGAGGTCAGGAGTTCAAGACCAGTCTGGCCAACACAAGGGTGTGGTGGTGTGTGCCTGTAATCCAAGCTACTTGGGAGGCTGAGGCAGGACAATCATATAAATCTGGGAGGTGGAGGTTGCAGCACCATTGCACTCCAGCCCGGGTGACAGTTCGACACTCCGTCTTGAAAAAAAAAAAAAAAAAAAAGGTAGAGTGGAAACTTGAATGCAAGTCTTCTGTTCCAATTCCACGGTTCTTTCCATTACTACACACTAATCTAGTGATTGTTACTATTAAAGATTTTAGGCCTAAATTACATTTTCTCCTGCAATTTTAATTCAATGGCCTATTTTGTCCCCTGGTGTGTGAAAAGCAATCATTACTTCCATCATTAAATAGCAAATTTTAAGGCACTGGACAAATATACACTTGAAGGCTAGTTGCATCAGCATTTTTTTTTTCCTTCTTCCAAGTTAGGGGTACTGATTTAAATTGGTAAGTGAAGTTGGGTGAGAAGATACCTTTATAGCATTTACACTTCTATATTGTGATGACTGCTGAATTAGGGGACTTTCTAAAGAGATGTGACTGGAAGGAGTCCTTGGGACCAATTCTTACAATTTAGGAACCCTGATTCAGTTAAATGCCAAAACCTATTTGACTTAGCTCAGAGTTGGTATAATAGTGGAGCTTTCCAATGTATATGTGGATCAAGAAAGATGCACTTGTTGCTGTAGCTGTTTATACTGACCTCAAATTCAATAAGGATTCATTGAGCACTGATTATGGTCAGGGCCCCATTTCAACTGCTCTGGAATACAGAGCATTGAGATCAGATTTTAAGGGCTTTTTGGCCTTCCTAAAAGCCCAACGAGGGTTCACATGAGTAGTAACACACAGCTGGCACTTAAGCTCTTCTTTGACTGTGTTACAATTAAGGATTCAAACTTCAAGGATAAATTGTTAACTTAGAGAAAGGTGAAATTCCTTAGACCTTAGCATTCAAGGTCCTCCTAATCTACCTTTTCAATCATCATTCCCACTGTTGCCAGGAGTAAACCCTCTGCTCTAGTTAAATTGGATGCTCACTACCTCCTGAGCATGTTTTATCTTTTCACCTGGATACCTTTCTCTTTAGTTCTATGCTGTTCTCTATAGTAGCCACTAGTCACATATGGCTATTGAGTACTTTAAGTGTGGCCAGTCTAAACTGAGATGTGCTGTTAGATACACCTAGATTTCAAAAATGTAGTTAAAAAAAATCTAATAATCTTTAAATATTGATTACATATTAAAGCATTAGTATTCTGGTCATAGATGAAATAAAGTACATTAAACCTTTCACTTCTTTTTGACTACTAGAAAATGTAAAATTTACCTATGTCTTGCATTATATATATATATATTTTTATTTTTTGAGACAGGATCTTAGTCTGTCACCCATGCTGGAGTGCAGTGGCACAATCACAGCTCACTGTAGACTCCACCTCCCTTGGCACAGGTGATCCTCCCACCTCAGTCTCCCAGGTAGCTAGGATTACAAGTGCTGGCCACCATGCCTGGCTAATTTTTTTCTATTTTTTATAGAGATGGGTTTCACCATGTTGCCCAGGCTGGTCTTGAACTTCTGAGCTCAAGTGATCCACTTTGTTCTCCCAAAGTGCTAGGATTATAGGCATGAGCCACTACACCCAGTCACATTGTATCTTTAGTGGATAGTGCTCCACTAGATTGTTAGCCAAGGCAGTACTGGGCCCACCAGTCAAACCCATATTTGCACTTTCTTGCTGGAGTAATAGTGATGAACGAAGGGGAGGAAAATTCAGAGTAAGAGTGGGTTCACACATTTGAGGCAAGCAGGCTATCTCATCAAATTGAAGTTGCTATCACTTATCAGCTAGCAGCTCAAGGAGGAAGACTGCCAAAGGCAGTAGGACAATTATTAATAATAATTTGTGGCACACAGCAACTGTTCAGTAAGTGTTAGATAACTTCTTTTAGGTGCTGACACTAAATACAAACAAAATCTTGAATCCCATACTTAGCCCTCCTGTTTTTCTTCTTCCACTTCTTGTCACTAAAATTTCGCCATTCCTATGAAATTCTTTCACTTCTATTCCTTTTCTCCCAATCTACAGCTAATCAGTCTTGTCAGCTCACTTTTGAAAATAGTTTTCAAACAGCTCTTAGCTTCCTTCTACCCTCTCTGTGTTCATTCCATTCTATATACTGTTAATGTTCCACATTTCTTTGCAGATGTAATTCTTCACTCAAAACCTCCAGTTTATTTTCATATGAACTTCACAAAAAGCTTTCACTCAGCATTCAAGGCTTTTCAAACCTTATCTCTTGGCACTCCTCTCCATAAAAAAAGGAATTTAGGGAAACTAGATTAATTTATGTATAGCACTTAGAACAATGCCTGGCCCACACTAAGAGCTATATAGGTCTTATCTATTATTACTGCTCACTTTTATTCAGATATGCTGTATGCATTTTTACTCCAGACACCGTAAATTCCCTTTTCTTATTTGAATACCTCAATCTCTAAAGGAAGGAGTGATTTAAACTATCAATGACCAGCAAGAGCCAACTGTTACTGCTGGAAAGACAACTTAAATATTCTTTCTACAACAGATAGGACCTGCAAATAAGGACCCTAATTTACCAAAGATAATGAAATTTAAGACTGCATGAAACAAAAGATAATATTTCCTTCATTCAAGAAACAGCAAATTTATGGAATGTGTTAAATAAAAACCTGAAAAATATAAATGGGTTCTAGATTTAGGGCACTCTCCAACTTTGGCATATATTAGAATAACCTGGGAGCTTTAAAAAACCCAGTTGCCTGGGCCCCATCTCTGATTTATTGAAGGGGAAGGCCTCAAGCACTTGAATTTATTTTAATGCCTCATAGGTGATTCTCCATGCAACCACATCTGACCATCACTGATCTAGTCAAAAGAAACTTTGGTTTAGGGAGGCTGATAATGTTTGGCATATATTCTTCTCGATGTTTTAAAAAAAAACCCAGCATACTAAGAGAACTGATTAACCTACAATGACTTATGTATTTATGTTCTAAAAAACCAAACAAAAACCAAAGAAACAAGAAAACCAACCTTTTCAACTTGATTTAGGGTTCAGAAGTAGATACATACATCTCAAATACCGCATTGAGCATTCATCTAAAAGTTTGCCGGTTGATCTGACTTCTATTAATTAAAAAAATTCAAAACAATTACTTAATATAGATTTAACTACGTACAATATTTACAATTTACAGATTTTACAACAAAATTATTCAGTTAAGCCTGTTGTGGAAAAGTTGGCATTTTGGTATATAACACTTCAGAAATTTCAAAAACTTTACCTCAAAAACATTGTACACAAATTTACAAAAGTGCTGTAGCTCATTTTATCTCAACAATACAGTTAGCAATCCAGGTGCCCAAATCTCTAGGCATGTAACCGATAAGCTATTGAGACAGCACTTTTTATACAATAGCAGAGGCTGTTAGAAACCTTAGGTCTCTAAAACCTTATAACAATGCCCCTTTCACCCTCCAATCCTGAGACAACAAGTCCTGTAGTTCCCCCTCATCATCGCTGTCGGCATTCTCTTCTTCTTTTTTCTGCAATTCTTTTATGGTCAGGATTTCTTTAAGTTTATTTTTTATTTCATCCTGGCGATTCCGTAGCTTTTCCACCCGTCGGTAACACTCTATCTGCTCATCGATCTCCCCAATCTGACGGTCCAACCGTCCCTCCTCATCCTCTTCGGCAACTATGGCTTCGGAAATAGTGTTGACCTGCCTCATGGCTTTTTGAAATTCGTCCCACTCTTTGTCCATCTGATCTTTAGGGGCATCAACCTTTCGTACTCTTGCATCTACCTCAGGGTCGTCAAAAAAACCTTCCGGTAACGCTTCCGCGGTGTTTTCTCTCCTTTCCACCACCTTTTCATGGATTTCTGCTTTCTCAATTGACCCTGAATGAGGAATTATGGGGGCCTTGGGAGGATTATTATTAAAGAAATCGTCTGGCAGCACACTACTTGTTACCTCCCGCGAAGAGGAAACTGAGTGTTCCTTGCCCTGTGCGTCGGACAGCAACTTGCTGGCGTCCCCGCTTTTTCTTTCTCCACCTCCTTCTTCCTGTTCCTCCTCCTCCTCCTCCTCATCTTCATAATCGGGGAGTAAACTGAGTCCTGAAGGCTTAGTGGGTGTCGCTCTAATGGACTCCTTTCCTATTTTGTCAAAGTTGGTGGGCAACGCAGACGTGGAGGGCTGTACCTGAGGCACCAAGGTGGCCTTCGTTCTCTTGGTATCTTGGCCGTCTGCGTCTGGCGCTTTCCTCTTGACGGACTGAGGCGCTGGGCTGGCGGATGGACCCTGGCTGGCTTCCTTCGCGCCTTTCAGCTCGGCTACTTTCTCTCGGTGCTGCTTTCCTAGGACGTGAGTCTGCCACAGAAGCTCACTCTTAACCGGGGTGTTACACAGGACACAACTCAGCTGTCCCAAACGGTTGTACTTAGCGAATGGAGATTCTATCCGTTTCCGGTTAGTGCTCAGACGCTGCTTCTCCTTCATTAACCGCCGCAGTTCTTCTTGATTTACCACTCGCTTCCCAGCCGGAGTCCCAGCGGAGGCGGAGAACGCCATCTTGGCGACCAGACCCAAAGCGAGTCCGGTTTCCGTCCGGCGAGGTATGATAACGTCACTTCTTGTCAGGGCGGTGATTGGCCGAGGCTCAAGTGAGCGTGGCGTGGCGTTCGGGTTTTTACTCAGAATCGCCACTAAGGCTCGTGTGTGCGTGTGTGTTGTTTTTTTTCGCCCTGAACGATTAGGCTATGGCTGCGATAAAGGCCGTAAACTCCAAGGCTGAGGTGGCGCGGGCCCAGGCAGCCTTGGCCGTCAATATATGCGCCGCCCGAGGGCTGCAGGATGTGCTGAGGACCAACTTGGGTCCTAAAGGCACCATGAAAATGTGAGATGGCGGATGGAGCGGCCGTTAGGCGGTTGGGGCTTGTTGGGTGTCCTGGCGCCCTCTGAGGCAGGCGTCCACGGAGCCGTATGGAAGTTCTTGCGAGCTTGATTTCCCTCATTCTCATCACTGACCTGAGGGTATCTCTCGCCTGGTGCGGGTGGAGGAGAAAAGCCTCCCTTAATAGAAGGTCCAAGGGGTGAAGCTATGACCCCCCCGACCCCCAATTTTTCGTCAAGGTTCATATGCAGTTAGAAAGTCAGTGAATTTAGTGTCTCATTGAAAACATAAAGCATTTAACTCCTCTGCTCTTTAAAACTACATACCCTTAGTTCATAAATTAAACAGGTAGTTATTTTTGTTTTATTTTTGTATGGTAAATGTATTGTAGTGGAGAGGGCACAGGGTTTGGAGCCAGGAAGGCGGCATGGGGTCAAATCCAAGTTGCCGTGCCTATGGTTCTTCATATCTATTTATCTCTTCAGTATATATTAAGCACCATTTTCTCTAGACAAGAGTGAGGAAAAGAGACCAGTGAGGGCAAAAGGGTATAAGAGGAGAGACACATCGTCATAGTAATGAACAAAATAAATTAATGATAGAAGTCACTTAGGTACTAGCTGCTGGGACACAGAAATGATCAAGATACAGGTTCTGTTCTAAAAAAGGTGTGGTAGAGATAGATGTGGTAGAGTTGGATGTGCTAATTATATATAGATGCATATGATTATTCTGAGGAAAGTGTCTAATTACTGATGGCAGAAGGAAAAGCATCTTAACTAACAATGTTTTATCAGAGTCTTGAAAGAAGAGTAAGAGTTCACGAGTTGGAAGAGGGAGTAAAGGCCTTCTGGGCAGAGGGTAATTTCAGGAATAAGAAAGACCAAGGATGCAAATCCAACAGAAACAAAACATGGTGTATTAAGGGAACCAGAAGATTTGCTTGTGGGAAAGTAGATGAGGCAGGGAAGACAGACATAAACGAGATTGGGAAAAGTCAAGTATGCCATTGCTATGTTTGGATTTTAACTTGAAAATTATGGAAAACATAAAAATCATTGGAGGACTTTTGATCAGGGAACTAACTGAATCACATTGCCTTTTAGAAAGAAAAATGTGTAGAGGATATAGGAGGGTATATTTAAGTTTGGAGATATCTGGATGTCATTCCAGGGTAGAGATGATGATGACAGTGGAGATGGAGAGAAGGGGGCAGAATCAAGAGA